TATTTGTGTATGTGGACCCAACCTTGCATCCCTGGCATAAAACCTATTTGATGGAATAGTGGAATAGGTGAAGTGTGTTTTTGAATGCAGTTTGTTTCATATAATGAATTTGGAAGTGTTCGCTTTCTTTTTATTTGTGGAATAATTTGAGGAGGATTGGCATTCTTCTTTAAAGGTCTTGTAGAACTCAGCCTTAAGGCTTTAAAGCCCTAGAAAAAGAAAAGTAAACTAATTCCAAAATCAGTAGAAGACAGAAAATAATTAATATTAGAACCAAAATTAATTAAATTCAGAATTTAAAAAATGCAAAGGATCAATGCAACAGAATTGGTTCTTAGGAAAGATAAAAACGATTGATAAGCCCTTACCCAAACTAGCCAAAAGAAAGAAAGGGATGAATTAACAAATTAGAGATGATAAAGGAGGTAGGTATCATCACAAATTCCAATAACCTGGAAAATCTCAAAAATATTGGCATATATCTAGACACATATGACCTACCCAAGTTGAACATTGAAGATATAGAAATTCTACACCAATGTCGAGCAATTAGATTGAAGTAGCAATTAAAAGCCTTCCAACAAAGAAAAGCCCAGGACAAGCTTGCTTTCTTTTTTTTTTTTTTTTTTTTTCCTCCACATTGCAATGAATGCTGCAAGGAACACTTTATATAAATCATTTTCTATAGTTGTTGTTCAATAGAGAATTATTTGGTTAAAATATAAAAACTTTTGAAAAGGTCTTTGATCAATATTTCTTAATAATTCTAAAGAAACTTTATATCATTAATTCCTTCAACAGAGTATGAAATGGCCATTATTCTTGATACAGAAAAAAATCTTTAAAAATGCAAATTTTTTTTTAATTGTGATGGTGGTTCTGGGGTTGAATTCAGGCCTTGCATATGATAAGCAAGCATTCTGCTACTGAGCTAGAACCTCAGCTTCAGTTTTATTTATTTATTTTTTATGACACATGCATTTTATTATTTATTTAGATGTGTAAACTCTTGCACCAAGTTTTTACAAGCTGGTGAACACTGACAAATTATTTCTCCACAGAACTGTAACCACACATTCCAGACAATATAAATATATGGTTGAACTAACATTAATATATATCACAAAGTTATTAATTACTTAATAAAACAAAATTATCAAGTATCCAAATATTAAGTGACACAGTTCAAAAGGCATATAAAATATTAACTGTCTGCCCAATTCATTATCAGAAATGTACTTTGATTGATTGATTGATTGATTGATTGATTGATTTTTGCAAAAGGTTAGGAAGAAAAAATACACTTCAAACAAAAAAATTGGTACAGAATTTCTGATAATTATGAAAAACTTCTTTCCTTCCTTCCTTCCTTACAAGAATTTCAGAAATTTTATGATTAAGAATTGTTTTAGCTACAATAACAGAGTATCTCTACCTTTTTAAAAATATTTACTAAAAAGCATATATTCTACAGATTCTGCACAAGACAAAGGCAACATTTTACTAAAAATATTTAATAGCCTCCTCTCCCATTTTTTTTTCAGACCCTTCCTGTTAAGTTGCACCTCCAAGTGTAAACATTAAATTAACTGTAAGACTTTTTTTTTTGTTTGGTCTGGAGATATTAAAGACGTGTTTCTGGAACAACTTAGGTTTTCAAAATGGAGGTTTTCCATAAAAGCAAAATTTAAGACATACAAAAAGATATTAAATAATTGCCATAAGACTTGATAAAAATTAAACAAACAAAAAAATGCAGTGATTAAAAGCAAACCTTATGTATACCAATATGAATTTGGGAGATATAAACATAAAGTGAACAGGCAAATAACCTTACAGTGTTTGAAATGACTGAAGGAATAAATCACATAAAGTCTAGGGTGTGCTTAGTTCCTGGAATTTTGTTGGGGTTTTTTTTTTTGTTGTTTGTTTGTTTGTTTTTTTTTTTTTTTTTTTAGTTTTAGTTTTCGGTGGACACAACATCTTTATTTTATTTTTATGTGGTGCTGAGGATCAAACCCAGTGCCCCGCACATGCCAGGCAAGCGCATTACTGCTTGAGCCACACCACCCCGGAATTTTGTTTTTTATGATTCTAAAAATACACAAGTATTGTGCTGGGCATTTTGGCACCTTATCTTTCTAAACTTCTTATATAAGATTTGGCATAGAAGTAGATTTAAAGACATTAACTCAATACCGCATGATTTCAGGAAAAATCAACTGGCACAATGATAAGCACATTTTAAATTGTGAACAGCAAGAATCTTTTGCTAAGTGTCCAAATAGGTTGATCATAACTCAAACATAGAGGCTGAAATCCTGTTAAGCTTGTGGCCTGGTAAAACTGCTTTCTAATAAAACAGTTATGGAAGCTTCATCAGATTTATTCACCACACCAACATATTGGCTAATATGGACAACAAATTAGGCCCCATCCTAAGTTTCACTTTTAAGGCAATAGCCTAAGTTTTATTGAATACAACAGGTGTCTGACTATTGGAGTCTTTGGCGCTCAGACACATTTTAGGACAAATGTTGCTTGCTGTTAAAAGCTCCATGCTGCTTTTGTCTTATGAATTGTACTGCATCTTTATATTTTATTCCACCTTCAATTAATGCTAGCACAACAAGCACTGGAGCTCTCCCAAGGCCTGCAACACAGTAAATAGGTTCTTCATGAAACTTAAGTTTTACAAGATTAAACCAGTCATCGACAATTTGGACCAGTCGTGCACCATCATCAAAAGGCCAATCAAGAATATGGATACCTTCTTTCTCCGCAAGAGTAGTGTCATAGGTTGCTTCAAATACTCTTAGTATTATGGAAACACCAAACTTAAGTTCCTCTATAAATTTGCTTAAGGTTGGGAGAGTAATGGGAAATGAAATGAACCTTCTAACAAGAGTCATCAAATCTTCACTCCAGTAATATTGAGGCAATAGAAGGGAAGTGCACCAAGGTTTACCCCCTCCAGGTCAGAACTCTTGTAAAGTGCTCTGTGGACTTCAATTTAATACTTCTATGCCAGGTTAAATACTCTTATGGGGGGACTTCTTTGTGAAGTAGTATGGATTTCTTTAGTTCACTTGTCGGCATAAAGGTCCTACTGTGCCTAGCAATAATCTCCACTGCCCTTCAGAAACTCCATACATGTGTGACCAAGAACATTGCTCTCTATATTAGATTATGTACTAGATCCTATCTTGTTCCAAAGGAGAATTTTAATTTGCTTATAAAAATAATAATAATTAAGGTAAGTTGAAAGTAATACAACAAAGAAATATAAAAAGGTAATAACAGACATTGGGCTCCTTAGCCTAGTCTTGGTTTATAGTGATGTGCAAATTTATGTTGTGTGAATACATCTGAAGGTACTGTCTTACACTGTAAATCATTTTTAGGGACACTGGTAAAGTTTCATGAAGATAAAAATTTATTTCTGGTGAATTTATAAACTTGTTTATAAATAATTTTTTTCAAACTTAATTAACTTTAAATTATTATTTTTTAATTGAGGAGGAATTACTATGTTGTTAAAAAGATAATTTGAGTATATAACTTTACAGCAAAATTAGTACTAAAAGAAATTTATCAATTAAGAGAATGTTCTTTTATTATTAGTTTTCAAGTGTATATGTCCTTTGGAGTCGACTGAAGTGAAAAATCAAAAACATGAGAATTAGAAATGAAAAATGTTCAAAAATATAGTAATTTTATTTGGATAATAAATCACTGTATGTAGAATAAGACCACAAAATGAACTTTTAATTTTTTAACAAAATACATTTTAAAATAAAGTATACTAAACTGTAGATTTGCCTTAAAAGAAGAAAAGGAAAAGAGAAGAAATGCTGATAACGCTTATGAAAAAATTAAACAACACTTAAGAAAGAAAGAAGAGCAATATAATAAAGAAGTTGAAGTGAAACAACAACTTGAAATCTCTCTCAGGACACTAGAGGTGGAGTTAAAGACTGTAAAAATTAATTTGAATCAGGTAAATCTATCTTTGGTAAAATTTTCATATTAATCATCAATATTACTTATATCCCTTTGATATATAGTGTGTCACCTAATGACAAGGATGTGACCTGAGAAATGTGTTATTTGGCAATTTCATTGTAATGCAAAGATCATAGCATATGCTTACATGAACTTAAGATATCTAGACAATATAATCTTCAAAGACCATCATTATATAAGTGGTCTTTTGTGGACTAGAGCAATGTTAGTTGGCATATGACTATTGTTTATGTTTAAAACAATATGTTATTTTACCCTAAAAATAAATTATGATTCTTATAACTAAAATTATGCATTGTGAATCTTGGCTTCTAATAGATGTTCACTATATGTTTTCTGAATGAAGGAATGAAAAGTAAATGATTTTAATTACTAACAAAAATTGTAAATGCAGCATTTTTATGTTAAAATCCAAAAATACAAATTAAATAGCTTTGAAACTATTGTGAAACTAATTAAATGTTTTATAAAAATGTTTACTTCATGATATTGTTTCTATATATCGTTAAGAACTGGTTATATTCTTTGACAAATTTAATTTTAATCCCAACAGCTCAGGAGGCTAAGGCAGGAGGATCACAAGTTCAAAGTCAGCCTCAACAACTTAGCAAGGCACTAAGCAATTTAGTGAGACCCTGTCTCAAAACCTAAACAAAAACAAAACAAAAAAAAAAAAAAAAATATATATATATATATATATATATATATATATATATATATGGACTGGTGATGGGGCTTAGTGGTTAAGTGCCTCTGAGTACCAAGAAAAAAAATCTCTAGTACCAAGAAAAAAAAAAGCACAAAATTAAGTAATTCATATGACTTTAATAGACTACTTCCTTTTTATAGTTGTGTGTGTGTGTGTGTGTGTGTGTGTGTTTAATTTTGTGGATTGTGCTTTTAGTTAAGCTTTTAGAATTTCCCCAGTGTAACAAAACCAAAAACTTAATGAAATGTATCTCTAGGTTTTAGAGGACCGAAATGACCTCCAGAGGCAGCTTACTCAAGAACAGAATGCTAGAATATTACAAGATGGGATTCTGGCAAATCATCTTTGCAAACAAAAGGAAATAGAAATGGCGCAAATGAAAATGAGTTCAGAGGTATTTTCCTTAGTCATTGCCAATTCGTGTGTGTATTTTGTATGTCTTCATATTTTAAAAAACAACATATGCATTTTGGAAAGTATAGCCAATTCTTTATTTATTTTAACATGGTTTTTTATATACATAGTTATATATTTTGGAGTGGTGTGGCATTTGGGACTCATTGAATAAATTAATGTTCTTAATTCAACTTCATTTGTCTGTAGTAGTTCAATAGAGATTTTCACAGTGGCCTCATTCAAAGAAAAGACTTTAATATTTTCTCTAGGAATTGATGATTTCACCATCTCAAAACCCTTTGTAGTAGCAATGGATGTTCTTTCTAGGTGTTTGCAGTGATTTCACCCCCTCGATATGAGGTTGTTTGTAACATCTACTACAAGAAAGAAAAGTATCGAAGCAGAGACCTATTTTGGATGTCATTTCCTCAAGCAACCTCTTATTTCAGTAAAAAGAGCTTTTGAAAACAATGGTATACCATAATATATACTTAGTGATATTTTTTGTTAAAAGTATTTTGTTTCTAGTGAAATAGGTATTTGTATTTTCCTCATTTGTATTAGTTTCTAAAACACCATGAAGAAGAAAGAAAGGTTACTACACCAGCAAGTAATATCAATATTGTCTAAGAACAGCCCCATAAATTTCACCTTATTTTCCACAGCATTTTGAATTACAGGACTTTTTTTATATTTATATATTTGCAATACAGAAACAACTGATTTGGTAGAATACTAGAAGTAGATTCAGAAAATATGGGGAAAATCCTGTGGCGTGCTTACATTTTTAACCTGTCTTGCAGAATTGTGATGATTGAGTTCAATGATATATGTAGAAGTGCTTATTATAATGGATACATTTATCAACAACTATAATTCTTATAAATGACTATTAAAATGTTGGAGTATTATGTAATATTTTCAGGAAAAAGGAATCTAAAATCATTGGAAAATTTTATCTGTCCAAACATATGTAGAGCTAAGGCTTTTATTATGCTGTATACATTAGATATCAGAGTATAAACCTAACTTTTTTAAAGTGATGAAATTTCTTTTTTTAATTAATGCATTATAGTTATACATAATCATGGATTTCATTTTGACATATCCATAAATGCATATACCATAATTTGCTCTATTTCAATTCCCAGTACTACTTCCTTCATTCCTGTCCTTTCTCCTCCTGATGTCTTTCGAGACTCTCCTCTATTGATCTTCCTTCAATTAATTAATTTTTTAATTGGTGCCTCATAGTTATATATAAAAGTGGAATTTATTATGATATATTCATTACATGCACATTTCATAGTTTGGTCAGTTTCATTCTATAGTTCTTCCCTTTCCCATCCCTCCTCCCTCTCCCTGAATCTCTTTCTTCTACTCTGCTGTTCTTTCTTCTATTTTTGTGAGATCTTTTTTTCCCCCTAATTCTTTATTTCTTTCTAGTTTCCACATGTGAGAAAAAGTTTATTTCATTTAGTATGATGTTCTCCATTTCCATCAATTTATTAGAAAATGACATAATTCATTTTTGGTTTTGGATGAGCAAAAATTTTATATATACCAGACATTTATCCATTTGTCTATTGAGGGACACTTAGGATGGTTCTATAACTTGCTCTTGTGAATTGTGCTCCTGCTATAAATATTTTTATGCATTTGTCACTATAATATGCTGATTTTAGTTCTTAGGTACCAAGGAGTGGGATAGTTAGGTCATATGGTGGGTCCATTCCTAGGCTTTTGGGGAATCTTCATACTGCTTTCCAGAGTGTTTGTACTAATTTGCAGTCCCACCAACAAATACGTGAGTGAAACTTTTCCCCCATGTCCTCACCCAGCAATTATTATTTGTATTCTTGATGACTGTCATTCTAACTATAATGAGATGAAATCTTAGTGTAGTTTTGATTTGCATTTTTCTGATTACTAAGGGTGTTCAACATTTTTGCATATATTTGTTAGTCATTTGCAAATTCATTTGCCCATTATTTGATAGAGCTATTTTTTTTTTTCATGGTAAGGTTTTTGAGTTTTTTATATATTCTGCATATTGATTTTCTGTCAGAAGAGTAACTGGCAAAGATCTTCTCCCATTCAATAGACTCTCATTTCACACTCTTGTTTCCTGCGCCGAAGCTTTTTAATTTGAAGCTATCCCCCTTAATTGATTCCTGGTTTTATTTCTTAAGCTTTAGCAGTCTTATAAAGGAAGTCATTGCCTGCATTAGTGTGTTGGAGTATTGGCCCTTTTTTTATTCTAGCAGCTGTGGTGTCTCTGATCTATTTCCTAGGTCTTTGATCCACTTTGAGTTGATTTTTATGCAAGGTGAACAGACAGGAATCTAGTTTCATTTTCCTACAATGGCTAGCCAGTTTTTCCAGCACCATTTGATAAAAAAAAGTTCTTTTCTCCAATGTATGTTTTTGGCACTTGTATTCGGGACAGATGACTAGCTATATGGATTTTTTTTCTTGATCTCTTCCACTCTATTCCATTGATCTCCATGTCCTTTTATACTAGTACTATGCTGTTTTTGTTACTATAGCTCTATTGTATAATTTGAGAACAGGTATCATAAAGCCACCAGCATCACTCTTCTTGCTCAGTATTGCTTTGCTACTCTGAGTCTGTTTTTCCTACAGTGAATTTAAAATATTTTTCTAGTTTTGTGAAAAATGCCATTTGTTATTTTGATGGAGATTACATTGAATCTGTATATCAAAATGTAGCCATTTTGACAGTATTAATTCTACCTATCTAATAATATGGGAGGTCTTTCCATCTTCTGCAGCTGTGGTGTCTCTGGTCTATTTCCTAGGTCTTTGATCCACTTTGAGTTGATTTTTGTGCAGGTTAAAGAAACATCTTCTGAGGTCTTCTTCAGCTTCTTTTTTCAGTGTTCTGTAATTTTCATTGTAGAAGTCTTTCACCTCCTTGGTTAGGTGTATTCACAGGTTGATTTTTTTGTTTTGAGTTTGATTTGGTTTGATCTGGGTTTTAAAGCTATTGTGAATGGAATTATTTTTCTCATTTTTTCTCAGCAGATTCACTATTAAAGTATAGGAAAGCTGTTGATTTTTTAAACATTGATCTAGTATCTTGCTACTTTGCTGAATTTATTTATCAGTCTTCTGATGGAATTTTATTTTGTGGGGGGAATCTTCTAGATACAGGATCATGTCATTGGGAAACAGAGATAATGTAATATTTTTTTCTATTTATATTTCTTTAATTTCCTTCTCTTGCCTGACTTATCTGGCTAATTTCAAGAACACACTGAATAGGAGTAATGAGAACAGGCAACAATGTCTTATTCTTGATTTTAGAAAAAAATGCTGTTCAGTTTTTCTCCATTCAGTATGATATTTCCTATGGGTTTATCATATGAAGCCTTTATGATATTGAGATAAGTTCCTCTATCCCTAGTTTCTTCAGTATTTTTCCCATAAATGGGTGCTGAATTTTGTCAGAGGCTTTTTCTGCATCTCTTCAGATGATGTGATTTTTGTCCTTAATTGTATTTATGTGGTGAATTATATTTATTGATTTGTATATGTTGAATCAACCTTGTGTCCCTGGGTTGAAACCATTTTGATCATGGTGTACCATCTTCTTAATGTGTTTTTGAATGTAAATGGCTAATATTGTATTAAGGATTTTTGAATCTGTGATCATCAGAGTTATTGTTCTGTAGTTTTCTTTCCTTAGTGTGTCATTATTTAGTTTGAATATCATGTGATAATGACTTCATAGAATAAATTTGGTAGTGTTCTTTTTCTATTTCATGGAATAATTTGAGGAGAATTGGCATTAATTCTTCTTTACTAGACTCACCTGAGAAACCCTCTGGTGCTGGGCTTTCCTCTTTTGGAAGGTTTTCAACTACTGCTTCAGTTTATTCCTTGATATCCATCTGTTTAGGTTTTCTATATCCTCTTGGTTCAATTTGAGTGGATCATATGTGATGAAAATTTAATCAATATCAAAATAGTTCCTAATGATCCTCTGTATTTCAAAAATATTTCTAGTGATATGTACTTTTCATCTCTACACTTTTGATTTGGTTCTTATTTGACTAAGGGTTTATCAATCTTGTTTATTTTTTTAAAGAACCAACTCTGCTAGATACAGTGGTGCATGCCTGTAATCCCAACAATTTGAGAGGCCAGAGGAGGGTTGTATTAGGCCAGCCTCACAACTTAGTGAGCCCTGTCTCTAAATAAATAAATTAAAAAGGCTAGGGATTAAAGTGCTCATGAGTTCCATCCCCAGTTTTAAAAAATAAATAAATAAACAGCTCTTTATTGTATTGATCCTTTGTATTTTTTTATTCTTGATTTTGTTAATTTTGGCTCTGATCTTCATTATTTCCTGTCTTGCTCTGGAAAATAATGGAATTAGTCTGTTCTTACTTTTCTAGGACCTTGAGATGTAACATTAGATTATTTATTTGGAATCTTTCTGTATTTGTTTTTATGTAATCACTCCATATTGTAAACTTTCCTCCAGAACTGCCTTCATACTCTCAGAGATTTTAATTTTATAACTCTCTTCACATTTGTTTTTCAGATTTTTTTTATTTCTCCCCTGATTTCTTCTAAGACCCATTCCTCATTCAGAAGTATATTAGTATCCATGTGTTTAAGTGGTTTCTGTTTTTTATCTTGTGGATTCCTAGCTTTATTCCATTCTGATCTGATAAAATGCAAAAAAAAAAATTATCTTTTTCCTTTTTTAATTTTATTTTCTTGTATTTTCTAAGACTTGCTTTGTTTTCTAAAATATGGACTATTTTGGAGAAGGTTTCATGTATAGCTGAGAAGAAAATGAATTCTGTTTTGGATTGATGAAATATTATATAGATGTCTGTTGGGTCCATTTGATTAGCATTATTTTTTAGGTCTGAAAAGCCATTACATACTTTGTGTGAGGGTGACCTATCTCTTGGTGAGAGAATTGTGTTGAAATCATCTAGTTCTATTGTTTTGAAGTCT